GATCACACCTGGCATACTGCATCCCATTTGGGATTGATAGATGTGAGCAACTCCAGCAAAGGACTGTCAAGATGGTCGGGGGGTTGGAGCACAGGCTGAGGAAATTGGCTTGTTTAGCCTAAGAAGGCTTGGGGTCAGGGAGGAACCTAACAGCATGATTCAGTACCTGAGAGCAGGTTATCAAAAAGACTGAGCTGGGCTCTGTACTGAGGTGAACAACAGGAAAAACAAAAGGCAATGGTCAAAAACTGGAACAGGATGTTCCAGATGGACTTGAGGCACAGGGAAACAGGAACAGCATGAAAAAGGTGGTGGTGGGGGGGTGGCAGGGAAGTACACTATGAGGATGATTAAACATTGGAACACGCTACCCAGAGAAGTTGGGGAATTTCTTTCCTTGGAGGTTTTCAAGACCTGAGTGCATAAAAACTTGAGTAGGGTGGTCTTTCTTCATAGCTGACCCTCCTTTGAGGAACAGGCTGGGCTGGATGTCTTCCTCAAGTCCCTTCCAACCTGAATGGTTCTGAGATTCTAAGACAATGGGATGACTTTTGCAGAAAGCATGCAAACAAGATATACTCCTGAAACATTAAGCTCTTGTGGTGGTTTAACCCCAGCCAGCAGCTAAGCACCACCCAGCCACTCACTCACTCCCCGCTCCTGGTGGGATGAGGGAGAGAATTGGAAGAGAAAACCCATGGATTGAGATAAGAACAGTTTAAGAATGGAAATAAAATGAAGTAAAATAGCAGTAGTAACAATAACACTATTAGAAATAATAACACACAAAGCAAGTGGCGCACAATGCCAATTGCTCACCACCCACCGACCGATGCCCAGCCCGTCCCCGAGCAGTGATTGCCGGCCTCCCGCCCTGCCAACTTCCCCTGAGCATGAAGCCACATGGTCTGGAATAGCCCTTTGGTCAGTTGGGGTCGGCTGTCCTGGCTGTGCCCCCTTCTTGTGCACCTGCCAGAGCAGGGGAAGCTGAAAAAGTCCTTGACCAGTGTAAGCCCTGCTCAGGAACAACTGAAATATCGGTGCGTTATCAACATGCTTCGTGTACTAAATCCAAAGCGCAGCACTGTGCCAGCTACTAGGAGGAAAATTAACTCTATCCCAGCTGAAACCAGGACACTCTCCATGCATTTTTAATGCATATTTGAGGACCAAGAGTTCTGTTTTTTTTAATACTGAGAATTTAGTTGCCATGGTAACACGTTCTGACTTGGAGGCTCTCTCTCCAGCGGTATTCTGGTTTCTATAGACTAAAAGCAGCTACTACTCCTTTTTCAAAGGCTCATATATTTACCCTCTCTGATACAAATATATTAAATGGCACATTCATGTCTCTGAACTTAAGAGAGACGTACTTTTAATTCCTCATTATTCATTTAGAATCCAAACCCACAGGTCTAATGACTCAGTTTCTGGGGGTAGAGCAATTCATGTCATTCTGCAGTCACGGTATACAGCCAGCCTAAAGAAAATGCTCCTGGAAATTTTTTTCTATTAGGTGGGAGGGTTAGATCAAGGGAGTTTTCAGGCAAGCAAAGAGCAGGGAAACAGGCAATGAATACAGTTTAATCAGTTGTGGAAGATGTTCTGTTCAAAAAAATCTCTTGTTTTCATTAAGAAGAAATATTAAGACTTTTTGCTCTAATCTATGTTTATATGTAATTTGATTTCTGTACCAGTCACAGATTTCCTGGTGCTAAATAAAGAGACCACTGCCACTGTCTTTAGCATTGCACAGTACAGGACACGTCCTAGGCCCTTGCCATAGCTGTAGCTGCCCTAGCGAATCCTTGCTTCCCCACTCAAAGGGGCGTCTTTCCCTTGACTACCTATGATCTGCAACAGACATGGCTGCAACTCAAAACACTTGTTCTTCTAGGTAGGACATGCTCCCTGGTTCAAGAAAGATGAGGAACTCCTAGAGAGAGTCCAGAGGAGAGCAACTAGCATGATGAGGGGACTGGAGCATCTCCCCTATGAGGAAAGGCTGAGGGAGCTGGGCTGGTTCAGCCTGGAGAAGAGGAGACTGAGAGGGGACCTCATCAACACCTACAAATATCTCAAGGGTGGGTGTCACGAGGACGGAGCCAGACTCTTCTCAGTGGTGCCCAGTGACAGGACAAGGGGCAATGGGCACAAACTGAAACAGAAGAGGTTTCAGTTGAATGTGAGGAAGAACTTCGAGGGTGCCCGAGCCCTGGCCCAGGCTGCCCAGGGGGGCTGTGGAGTCTCCTTCTCTGGAGATATTCAAAGCCCGCCTGGACGCTGTCCTGTGCCCCCCGCTCTGGGTGAGCCTGCTTGAGCAGGGGGGTTGGACTGGGTGAGCTCCCGAGGTCCCTTCCAACCCTTGCCATTCTGGGATTCTGTGAGATGACGTAGAGCTAGCATTTCTGTCTTTACGTGATGCAGGTAGCCTCCTATGTCAGCAGATATCCTAGATGATGACGTTTATGACTGCTGTTATTTTAAGGCAAACTATTCATCTTGTTTGTACTGTACATGCAGGAAAGCTGACGGAAGATGAGATTCTGACCCTATATCTGTACAATGCAATACCACATAAATCACTAGATGCCTGTTAGTTTTAAATCATGTAATGTTTGTTTTTTTTTTTTAAACTTGCTTTACACACTTGCCAATTATACAATACTCTTCTCTTATTCCTTCATGTGGCCAAAGCTTCTGCTGCTACTTGAATTTAAGTTTAAAGTGGCATGAAAATGATATAGTTTCATTTTCAATTGCTTCTTTTAAGAAATCCAAGTACTGTGTCTTCCTGGTTTTCTACTTGAGATGCAATACTTAGCTGAACATTAAAAACACCAATCTCAAAAGCATAAAACATTGAGCGTGGAAAGCTGCCAACTATACTTATTCAACTCATTTCACACAGTGAGAATAATGCTGGGCTTGCATTATGTGTAACACAGACAAAGCAGTACTTTTGTTAGGTTAGAGATTTGCCTGGATGCCTGACTTTAAACTTTATCTTCGAAGTTTTATAAGCATCATAACAATGCCACAAGCCCAAACCAAAACACACAAACCAGAAATTAGCAGTATAAAAGAGCTTTCAAGTCTCACTTGCTCGTCAGTCAGTTTGAAGAGGTAACACCAACAGGAGGATGGCACCCAGCTAGTCCTAGCAATGTGTACCTATGTGCATGGTCTCTGTTGCAAGCCAGTAACTCCCCTGGGGTTTCAACCTTTGCTCTCTGGTATTCTAACTTCAGAAACATTTCTCTTCTTTTTCATTGTCAGAGAGAACACAAATTAAGACCCTGACAACATATTCTAAAATTACAAAGAATGGGAAGACATAAACACATTTCGCATGTCTGATTCTATGAAACAAAAAAACCATTTACAGTCAGAGAATCTGAAGTTGGCAAGAATATTTTTGTCTTCACCTGTGAACAATACCACTCTCCAATCCATTTCCAAAGTTTCTACATTACCCAGAAGTTTGTTCTTCATATGTATACAGACATTCAATGTAGAAATAGCCCAATGAACTTCAATCCAGATTTAAAAACATTCATTAATCCAACACCGTAAAGCAATATTCAGGTTACCGTACCCTTATACACTCCATGTTCAAGTAAGAACTAGTACTCATTGTATAGCAAACAGGAAACCTGGCTGACCCGAGATGATAGCTTTCTTCAAAAAATGTTTCTGTTTTCACAGTGAGGTGGCTACGAAGAACTGCACCTACTCTGACAACAAGTGAGGCTGCAATTAAACTTCTCTTAATATAAGCATATACCTTTAGTCTTACAATTTGACTATTACTATTATTATGCCTCTGAAATGTAATATTTGCTGGAATTGCACTGCTGTATCTCTACATATAATTCACACATTTAATTGTGAACATGTCCATTATACTGAAGAAGCCAAATGACGACCACTAAAGTAGTCCCCTAATTGCCGTCGTTTCCAAATGTCATATATTCTACAGAAAATAACTGTGCCTAGCAAAAGCTCCACTGTTGCCCTTAATTTATAGAAAAATACACCCTCTTACCGTATTGATCCAATCATGTAGGGCTGTGCTAGCTGTACTACAATCGCTCCGCTCCCAAGCTGATGGCACGTGTACCCAGAGTCCCAATCGTAGTTTTTTGTGTCTCCATTCAACAAGGCATTGCGACTGCGACTTACACCCTCAATCACACTGGCACAGTCTGCAATCGTTGCAACATTTTCAGTGGGAACTGTGAATTAAAAGACAAAGATGACAGACATACAGTCAGAAAACAGTTCAGATACCAGTGCTCTTTATTTCTGGCAAATAATAGGGAAAAATGAAAAAAAAAAAAAAAGCATGAAAGCATGATCAACACAAGGAAATGTAACTCTTATTTAACATGAACAAGCAGAATCAAGTGGTACAGATAATTTTTATAGCGTTGATCCTGGAATAGCTTGATAAATTAACAGACGGATTTCTGTCTTGGTGATATAAAAGGACTTTTTTAATACAATTGGAAAAAAATTCTTGTCCAGTAAAACTTCTGAAGTTTTCAAACAATTTATTCCTGTTTTCATGACGAAACATTCCCCCCCCGCCAAAAAAAAACCCAACCAAGAAAAAAGAAAAAAAATATGTGGGAGGGTGGGGATGAGAGAGAAATAAGTGGGAGACAGTTTAAAGCACTGGTATGTGCTGTGGGAAGTCAGGACTCAGTCTCTGAAACCAGGGCTTGAAGTCTCACAGCTCAGGAGACTATTCTCAACACATTTGTGTTGGTACTTCTGACAGTATCTCTGCCTGTGATTAGAACTTGCACCCCAGAATTTAGAAAATAAAAAGGTTTTTTAATACTTACAAAATCCTTCAATACCAGTGTTGGACTTACAAGAAGGAAGGAGAGACCAATAGGTTTGCCACAGAAATGGAACAGCAAGTGCAAAAGTATTTCTCATTCAGTCAAGAGTCAGGAAAACGGTATGACTGAATGCCACAGAAAAGAAATTATAATATCCCAACAGCAAAAAAAAAAAAAAAAAGATAAAGATTTTTATTGGATAATTCTTTTTTCTATCCTATACGCAGCCATAAAAAATGCCAGTATGAAGTAGCCTGCTAAGCCGAAGAAAGTCCAAGGTATTACTGCAAAGCATCTAATTTGCCTTCCTTGATTCAACTTATAAGCAATTATTTGAATATTACAGGGAAAATGCGCAAGTTAGGGAACTAAAAGAACTTTCAAATTAGTAAAAGCATTCCTGGGAAAACCATTACAAGAAGAAGGGAGTTTCAGTTAAAAAAAAAAAAGTAAGATGACAATTCTAATTGCACAGGCCAGTGCTAACTGCTACCTTGTGCTGCAACATCTATCATGAACTCTTTTTTTTGCCTCTACAGCCCCCCTTGCAATCAGTGTACATATCAAACACCGTGGTCCAAGTGTCAGCACCGTCCAACTTCAGTCCTTCCTTCTCCCTGGTACATCCAAAATGGAATGCTCTAACTTGGAAACTGCTGCTATAAAACGGATTAGACAGAGGATAACGTAACCCTTTAGTAGTCATTTTTAGAAGCAGGGGAATGTTACATACTCAGCGATAAGAAAGTGTAGTATTGGGAGTTGTTATTCCTTAGCAGAGGATGTAACTTCCATGTTGGTTTCTAGAAAACTTTCCAAGGAGAGGAATGCTGCTCTTGTACTTCCATAGTCTTGCTCAATCTGATTTAAATCCAACACCAAGTAGTTTCCCCCTTCCTTTCAAATCAAACAATTCATAGTGTATCATAGAATCACAGAATGGTTTGGGTTGGAAGGGACCCCCAGAGGTCATCCAGCCCAAACCCCCTGCAGGAGCAGGGACACCGCTAACCACATCAGGTTGCTCACAGCCCCGGCCAACCTGGCCTGCAATGTTCCCAGGGATGGGGCCTCCACCCCCTCTCGGGGCAACCCCTCCCAGGGTTTCACCACCCTCACTGGAAAGAAGTTCTTCCTTAGATCCACTCTAAACCTACCCTGGTTTAGTATAAAGCCATCCCCCCTTGTCCTGTCACAGCTGGCCCTACTAAAAAGCTTGTCCCCCCCTTTCCTCTGGGCCCCCTTGAAGCCCTGACCGGCCGCACTCAGCTCTGCCCGCAGCCTTCTCTTCTCCAGGCTGAACACCCCCAACTCTCCCAGCCTGGCCTCAGAGCAGAGGGGCTCCAGCCCTTGGATCATTTTAGTAGCCCTCCTCTAGACCCACTCCAACAGTACTTCCAGCTTGACATAATTTCAGCAATTTCATCAAAGATCGAGACAAAAGCACCTCCGGGAGCACGCTCGAAGAGGGACGTGTATTTTTTTGTGCCTAGAGTACTTTTCCAGCACTGGTTTATAAGTGCTTCAACACTTACTTTTGGAATAACCTATTATTTCCTTTTGTTAACATTTAATCAAGTATGGTACTTTCTGTTTGTAATTCAGAGAGAATCCCAATCTTTTTGAACCCCACCTTCCACCAAGATGAGAGATGAACACCAAAAAAAAAAAGGCTATTTAAGATGCCATAGTCCGGTCCAGCACTTTCCTAAAAAGCTCCAGTTTTAGGTAACCTCCTCTTTTCAAACATGTATGTATCTCTCTATCCTCTCTCTCAATCAAAAAATTAATATTAAAAAGGGTGCAAAACGATGCTCTCTGAACATGTGAGAGTCAAGGTTGCCTGTTGAGCCTTTGGGTTTTGGGGGAAAATGTTAAAAGCGCTGTTTGGTTGGGTTTTTTTTCTAAACAGTATTAAAAATTCTCTCAGCACATGCTGTACTAAAAAAAAAAAGCTAAGATTTTGTGTATCAACTCTGATGAAGGGCAACCAATCTGTGTGGTAATGCAATTTAAAAGAGAGAGGAAGAAATAAAGTACCAAAAATTATCTGAATGACAATGAGCAAGTTAAAAAAATTTTCAAGTTCACAGTATCTCATACCAAACATCTTTGAAAAATCAGAAAGAACAAGAAACAAGCCAAACTAAGAATGGCACAAGAAAAAATTAGAAATACAGAAGACATACAACTGACACGATTTGAATTTTCATGAGAAAACAAATGATCTATAGTACAGATGCAAATGTACCATTTTAAGCCCACTGCACACTGATAAATTACATACTTTAAATAGTTGTCTGTAAAATATGTATTTAAAATACTACAACAGCTGAATATGGCTGAAAATAGCTACTTGATATTTCAGAGCTAATTGTAAGAGTCTCCAGCACCACAAAAAAAAGGGATAATTTTCCATGAAGAGGTAGGATTCTGTGTTTTACGTGTACTAGAGGTGTCAGGATCATGATCTTAAGAAAACCACCAACCAACCAAAACACCATAAAACACACGGGGAAAAAAGCGCAAGCTCGTTGCCAAGTAATAATCCAAGGCAGTGGAAAGGCAATGGAAAAATCTGCTGCACTATCAGAAATAGTGAGGCCAGCAGGAGCAGGGCAGTGATCGTGCCCCTGTACTCAGTGCTGGTGAGGCCGCACCTCAAATACTGTGTTCAGTTTTGGGCCC